AGTGCCACTCAGCCTGGACACAAGTTTGGAGGTCATGGCTGGAAACAACTGGGAGTTGTTCTAGGAGGCTGCCTTGCCTTTTTAGGTTATGAGGGTCTCTCTGTGTTTAGGATAACATGATTGACAATTCCACTCTAGCTCCAATTAGCACCCTATAATTTATTAGCTTCTGCTTTCAGATTATGCGTTAACTTCACAAATATTTCAACCACGGAAACAGAAGCTATCGAGTGTCTCTTTCCTGATCCAGCCCTCTGGGGCTGGAGTGAAATACAAGGAAAGAGCGGTACAGTTGGTCTGTCAAGTGAGAATAATCATTTGTGTCTGTGCCTGTCTGAGGGCATGATGTCTCTAATTTCTCTTTAGCCTTGCGTGTACTATGTGTATGTGTGTGTGTGTGTGAGAGAGAGAGAGAGAGAGAAAGAGAGAGAGAGAGATTGATTTGGGATAAACAGATTTTATTTTGCAGATACTGTTTTTGTATTATTAGATTCACATTTATTTATGGATAATAAGGAAGAGTTCAGAAAATATGAAACTTGCTTAACTCTATTGCTTGTGTAAATGTCATGCCTTCAATTACCTACAAATGGCAAGTGTAATAATGGCACTGTTCTTAGGATATTTATTTCTTTTCTCCAGATTTTAGGAGTATATAATAAATTCTAAAACTCTAATAAGGAAAAATGGAATACAGGGAAAAGTCCTTAACAAACACAATCACAATATAAGTTATTTGCATGCAAATTGTCAATAAAGCAGTTTTATAAAGAAATCTTGTTTTTCAATTTATTTTTAAACACTTTCAAATATCTTCCTATTTCTCTCCTGTGCTTTGACATCATTATATGAATTACATTAAAATACAATTTATGGAAGTGGCATTGATATGCAAAGAAGTTTACCTAAGTTATATATTTTTTTAATCTCCAATTCACTAAGCACTTAAAAAAGTGTTTCTTTGTTTTCTTGGATAGCACACATATGGGTGCTTGTGTAGAAATGCAAGCTTTGTGATTTTGAACAATGTCCAATAATGTCCAAGGAAGTTAAAGTTACCTTAAGACTTGATTCACCAGATGCAAGAGGGCACAGAAAATACAGTACTACTCAAAACAAGTGGGCAGAGCAGCTTTCAGTTAGTCTGAATCCAAACACCATCACTTCTACTCTGCCTCCTACCTAGGCCCCAATCAATCTTAAGGCAGTGCTAGAATTTGCCACGCATTGAAATAGAACTTCAAAGGGGAAATGAGACAGGGATAGCAAGTCCTTTTCAACTAAAGGAATAGAACAGATAGAATTCCCTGTAGCTGGCTGATGAGTTCTCAGCCAGAGGGCAATGGGCAAGAGGATTACTTCGTGGTGGAGAGACGTCTCTCCCCTTTTCATCACCTCTTCCTTGGCTTAGGCCAAGTGCAAAAGGAAAGCTGTGGGTGAGGCAGACACCAGGGCCAAGTAATATGATTACAGGAATCTAATCTTTTTCTCAGACCCTCAACCAAGTATAATATATATATATATATATAAACATCATGCTTTTCTAATGTCATACCTCATTTCCTCAAATGTCCTTTATTCAGCTACTAGAATCTTTAAATCTTCATGGTTTCACTAATATTAGCAAAGCAGGTATGGGAGTTCATAATTTATATGATTTGGTGGGTGGGCCTAGAGCATATCAGCTAAGACCACTGATCCCAAAGTTGTCTTCAATGCTTTTATTATACAGAACCAAATCTTAGATCTAGATCATCTTGCATTTCTACTTTAGGAAGGATAAAACAGCAAAATGCTGCACTTCGAGGGTCATCCCTGCCAAATCTCTGGAGCCTGGGCTGGCTCAGCAGTCTGAACGGTGTGTTCAAGACTACCCCAAAGGCCAGTTCCAGTGAATGAGTCTCCTCACCCTCACTCTGATATTCAGGTCAGATGCAGCTTAGGAGAAGTTTCGGTAATCAGAACCTCGTGGCTGGGAAAATGCTCCCTGAGGATTGTGACCACAGACCTTGTGAATGCTAACACTGGTAGAAGCAGGTAAAGAGCTTCTTTTAGTGGGGAATACTAGGAAGAGATGCCTAGCAGAGTACATTGCTATGCTTTCTTCTTCTATGACATTTATTAGTAGGTTCTGAAAATCACACGGGGACTTAATCCATCTTATTTATGCCTTAATATGCCAGTGATCCATGCCAATGGAACATGGATTAAAAAAAATCCACAGAGAAGTCCAAAGTTAATTTTAGTAATTGCTTCAATGTCCAAATCTCAGGCTAAATATTACAGGGCTTGGTTAGGTTGGGTGTGAAGAACTTCAGAGCAGTGTAGGCTGTTAAATACTGAAATGAATTAATAAAAGAAGCAGCAATAATTCCCTCCTGGAGAAGAATAGAGAACTGCATCCGACTGACTGGTCTAATGGTAATGCCATCTTATGAAGGATTTTGAACAATGTCCAATAATAGCTCCTCTGAGACCTGGGATCCTGTGAATGCCAGTATTTTCTTCCCTGCCTCTTTCCCCTTTCTTTATACATCTGTCGTGGAGAAGAAAAAAAATTCAAAGTTGAACAGCAAAGTGAGAAATTATGACCGGACAATTACATTGCAGGGTAACATGGAAGTGTCTGCACTTGGAGTCTGGGTTTGTATCTTGGTTCCGCCACTTACAAGCTTTATGACTGGGTAAATTATTCTTCCTCTGAGTGCCTCAGTTTTCTCATAGTAAAGAGATCATAATAATAAATGCCACATAAAAATGTGAGGATTAAATCTATTCATAAAGTCTTTAGATCATTGCCTGGCCCATGACAAATAATTAACATTAGTTATTATTATTATCAGATCTGGAGAGCATAATCATACAGAACCTTTCATCTGAGCAAAACCAACAATATTCTTTTAATGATCATATTTACTTCACAGGTTCCCCCAAAAATAAAAATAGAAGATGGGTAACTCTGCCAAATTCATGCTTTGAGTAAGGTCCTTTAACTGCTTCCAACTCTTTGAGATTATGATCCAAGATAAATGATATTTGCCTCTCATATTACAATGAAGGTCAAGATTTGGACTAACATTTTTATGCTTCAACAATGTAAAAGGATAATTATGGTATAGCATAATATATCTCTCCTGGGCACTTTACTTGTTATTTTTATTAATTTATGGTGTGGTACTGGGGATTGAACCCAGGAGTACTCTACTACTGAGCTATATCCCCAGTCCTTTTTTATTTTTTACTTTAAGATGGGGTCTCACTAAATTGCCCAGGCTGGCCTTGAACTTGCCATCCTCCCACTTTAGCTTCCCAAGTAGCTGGGATTACAGGTATGCACCACCATGCCTGGCTTCTCCTGGTCACTTTAATAAAAAAAACACAAATAACTTTAGCATCAATAGGGGGGAAAAGACATGAATCAATCAATCTATCTATCTATCTATCTGTCTGTCTGTCTGTCTTTTCCCCTAGCAAGAGCTTTGGTCACTTAGCTTACTTTGTTAAAATATAAAATAACCAATATTTGAAAAACACTTTCAACTGATGACACCACTGTCGTAGAGGCTAGAATTTAGACAGTAACAGCAATTCCCTTCTGGAAAATAAAATATCTATATCTGACTGAATGGCCTACCTATAGTGCTCTGTGTACAGCCTCTGCGTCTAACTTCCTGAATACTAACAGGATAAGTCCTGTGCTTCCACAGACCATGATTTCCTCACCTGTAAAACAGAGGTGGGAAAGATACCTAACTGCCAATTTCTAGATTTGCTGTGAAGTGGAAAGGGATTAACAGATTTCAGAATATAGCAAACACTTACAAAAAATGTGGTGTGTGTGTGTGTGTGTGTGTGTGTATTGCTCATGATATTGCTGACATTAGATTATACTAGTATAAATTATTTTATTCTAAAGAAAAACTAAGACATTTATTTTTATGAAACAAGACAGTGAACTTGTAGTAAATAGACATCTTTAATGTTTGTTTCTTCTTCCTTATCTCCTTCACCTTTGCCCACACACAGACCCTTTCCCCTGTTCCAATACAAAAGTGACCAATCACAACCTTGGAGACTGAGAAAAATATTCGAGATGTTGTTTACTCCATAGATTTTTTTTTCCCCTAGTGGTGGATGATTTCTTGTTCCTTTCCATGGAGACAGTTGGAATCTTTTATTGCATCTTTCATCTGGAGGATAAAGGGAGGGACAGGATTTGTGGGAGAGAAGGCAGAGCAGGGTTCTTCTTTCATTGTAAAATGTTCCTTGTAAAAAAGATGATATATATATAATATATCCAGTGCAATTGCAATTGTTCTGCCAAACACTGGGAAGTGCCACCTTGGTCGATGTATTTCTGGAGTTTTAAACAGTTGTCCTACAACAGCTGCATTTCAGTAAGACTTGGGCAGGTGGCTCCAGATCAGCCACTTGCCACTCACATTCAGACTGAGGCTTCCATGTTCACAGTCCAAAGGAAAAAGTGTCTGTCTGTCTGGAGTGGGTGTTGTGGGAAGGAGATGGGCAGGAAAGAAGCTGGAGGCTGAGCCTTGAAGAAGGAAGAATTGGCTTCTTTTTACTTCTCTACCACAGTCTTTGTTGCAGATGTAAATGACATTTTTAAACCTGAGGATGTTGACATCAGTAGTGTAATGATCACACTGCCTAATGAAGTAATTCACAACAGCATAAAAAATATTTTTCCAATTCCATGAAAGCTTATGGTGTCATATCTCCTGACTAAACAATCTCACCACAGATATTTCCAGTGATTTGGCCAAAATCATTGAAAATAATTCAGAGTCTCTGGATCTGCTCTTTTGGAAGAGATTAACTTTAGATGAGATTTCTGTAAATGTGCCTTTTAATTTTCTCAATACATGGAGAAGTTTGAAGTCTCTGCCTTTCCCCTTGTCCTCATCCACGAAGTGGGAGGCACAGATGCTGAGCCTCCATGGCTGGTCAGAAAGGAAAGGGAGGGGAAACCCTGGGTCAGCAGATCAGCTCAGAAGGGATGCACCACAGAGGGAATAACGAGGAGCTGCAAACCAAGATCAGAAGCTGTTACAAACCCACTCCATTTCAGCTCTGAGTCACCAATTGCACTATGCAGAGACCTACAAGGAAGAAGTTGGGCTCTAAAACCAGTACAGATCCTTGTTTTTGTCCTGAGGCTGTAAACCTGAAAACAGAGAAGATAAAAGAGAGAAAAAGAAGGTGGGGAAGAGAGAGGGAGGAAAAGACAGAAGGAAAGGTGGGAATGAGAGGGGGGAGGAAAGGAGAAGGAGGGAGAGAGAGAAAGAGGGAGGGAGAGAGAGAAAGAAAGGAAGAACAAAAAGAGAGGGAGAGAGAAGGAAGGGGGAGGGAAGGCACAAGATATTTAAGGAAAGAGAAAAACAAAAGACCACTGTTTTATTGTGAAAGTCACAGACTTCATCTAAAGGGGAAAGGGTGAATGGTGAATGAAAGTAAAATCAAAGCAAATAGAAAAGTAAATCTTCACCTGAGTGGACAAGACTACAAGCTAGTTGTTTCACTTTTAATATAACATTTTTTTTCATTTGTTTTAAAAATAAAAGAAAGCAAAAAAAAAAAAATCCTCATTTATACCTTTCAAATTAAGTCAGAGATTTAGCATCTCAGAATTATCGTTAAAATCACAGTCTGTAAATTTTACATTTTAAGATTCCTATTTAATTTGGCAATTAAGCTGATCTAAGAATCACATGACTGTCACTAGGAGAGCCCCAAGCAAGTCATACAGTATTTTAAACTACACTCTCAGCAGGTACTCTAGATCGGCGCTGTCCAATAGGAATACAGTGGGAGCCACAGGCATAATCCTAAATTTTCTAGCAGCCACATTAAAAAAAAAAAAGTAAAAAAGAAACAAGTAAGAATTTTAATAGTATGTTTTATTTAACCAAATATATTTAATATGCAACGTTTTGAACATATTTGAACATGCAAAATCAATATAAAAATATTAACGAGGTGAATTTTACATTCTTATTTAGCACAATGTTTTTGAAATCCCAGTGTGTATTATGTACTGACAGCACATCTTAATTTGCCCTAGTCACACATATGAAGTGCTCAGTAGTCACATTGTGGCTGGTGGCTACAATTCTGAACAGCGCAGAGCTAGAACCTTTCCACCAGATTTTATTTAAAAAAGAAAAGAGGGGAGGGAGTCTTCTGTAATATTTTATAGCCAGGTTAGGGCAGGGTCCTATTTTCTAACCCCGCCCACATCGATGGCACAGGGTTCTGTATCAGCTCAAACACAATCCATGCAGACTGACCACAGAGTCCCGGAGTCTCCCAGGACTAAAGGGGTCTAAGGCTTAGCCCAGGGTCGGGTACAGCGCTGGAGGGGGCCCGGAGAGGCTACACTCCCTCCTCCGCTTACCTGAGTCCACGCTGAGGCCCAGGCCCTGGGTCATGTCCCCCGCGGGGCTCACGAAGGGCCCCCCGGGCGCGGTCCACGCGCCGCCAGCTGGCTCGCCCTTTGCGGAGAGCTCGCAAGGTGGGCTGCCCGGCGCGGGCGCCGGAGCTGGTGCGAGACGGGCCGGGCGCCCGGAGGAGGCGGGCATCAGCAAAGGACCATAGCGAGGGTCGAAGTGCGGCGCGTAGACCTCATGCACAGCGGTGGGCCGCGGGTAGGCAGCGGCCTGGGCGCCAAGGGCGCCGCCCAGCGCGTAGGGGTGGTGGGGATGTGCGTGGTGCGGGTGCGCGTGGTGGTGCCATGCCTCGGCTGCGCCCTGGTGCAGGTGGCTATGCAGCGCCGCGGGAGAGTAGGGGTCTGAGGTGGCGAAGGGCAGCTCAGAGTGAGCCGCGGCCAGAGGACTGCCCAGAGGTGCGGGTACTGGTGCCTGATACGCGCTGTTCCAGAAGGAGGCGGGAAAGCTGCGCTGGTTCATCGGGAAGGAGCTGTCTGCTGGCGGGGGAGGCGGAAAGGAGGAAACACAGGACCAGGTCACTGCCGCTGTACAGGAACGCTGACCCACACTGCCTTTTGAACTGAACAGCCCGGCCCGGTAAGGGCGGGAAAGCTGCAACGGGGTGTGTGTGGGGGGCGGACCGGTAGCATCTGTCTCCGAGCTGCACCTTTACAAGGATGCAGCCGGTAAAAAAGGAGGTCCCGGCACCCAGAAATCACCACAGCTGCTGGATTCCTCCCATTTTCCAGAAGTATCCGCAATGCAGAAACCGGACAGTGGAAGAGTGGAAGAACGGAGAGGTCCCTTCTGCCTGCACAAGTTTTGGGGAACAGGAAGCTTTACCCCACTTCCCGGCCCAAGCTGCCTGGGCAGCCTCAGGGCAGACGCGACTTTCCTTTCTCTGTCCACAGGCTCTCCTCAAGCTAAGACCCGTCCTCCAGTTGGCCGCCTAGCGATCTCACTACCTCCTCTCGCATTTCAGTCTTCCTTATTCCAGAAATTGTGCCCCTCCAAGGTCTCTGATAGACTCGCAGTTCATCAACATATTTCGAAGTCTTGCTATTATTAGTTTTCTTTTTAGAAACCTTATTTCAAATGTTTTTTCGCCAAGAACTCAAGCAAAAGGGTAAAAGATATATTAAAGGAGCTGTTGTATTATTTGCAAAGAGGGACATTAAGGGACAGGTTTTTAAATCCTAAATTTCAATAAACAAATTGCATCAAAATAAGGACGTCAGGAATAATAACAACAACAACAATAATAGTAATAGTCATTTTATCTGTTAATCCCTAATGCATGGTAGCATTTTAAGGGAACAGCGATTAAATTAAATCTTTGCTTTTAGTAGGAAAGGAAAGCCATACATTTAATTCAAAGCCCCATCCTCTGGGGGAAGCCATCTGTACTAAATACAAGAGAATTTCAAATTGCTTGAAATGTATGCTAAATGGCAAACAGTGTTGCCCTTAAAATATTCAGGTAATTGGAGAATAATAATAATAATAATAAAGTCCTGTATTTAAACTATTTTTGGGGGGGTCTTGTCTAAGGACAAGGTTTATGCAAACTGCCAGACTCTTAGGGAAAAAGGAGGGGTGGGGTGGGGAAAGGGAGCATCCTCATCTCCTCCAAAATGACAATTATTTTTAAACAATGAAGTCCTCATTTCTCAACTTGGTACACATCAAAAACTAAGCTCAGTGAGCAAGTTTATTAAATGTTTTCTCCTACCTTTGTCTTATTGTGAATAAAGGGAAGCTGAGATTTCAGAATAGAAGAGAGATTTGGTTGACTTAAGTAATCATTGTCTCAGACTAAAGTGGTGCTTTATGGGGAGGGAAGAAAAATCTTTAAGAGGAGATGTGTTGGGAAAAGCACTACATTTGCTATTGAAAAGACATTTTCTGCTTCAAGATTTCCTAAGTAATTGAAACATGGCAAAAGGCATAGGTTGATTTTAGGGCATGTTCTCCAGCAGACATTGCTTGCAGAAGGTGTCCAGGACTTCTGGGCAATTTTTTTTTTTTAAATTTGAAACTGGAAAAATGCCCATTAAGTTGTTGGTAAAGTTCCTGTGCCACTGGGTTTGGGAGGGTGTTGGAAACCTCAAATTTACATACATTCTAATGTTCCAGTCTTAAAGCCTTCTCTGATGATGGTTAGGATGGCAAGTGTTATTCTAATTTTAGAGACTAGTAAATAGTGACCTCAAAAAGGTTAAGAGACTTGCCCAAGGTCATAATGCTAGGAAGTGGTAGAGCCAACACATGAATCCAGACCTTTGAATTCCAAGGCTTGTGTTTATTTCCAGGTCATTGCTCCGCTCTGCCTCTTTAAGAAGAAATATTATACCCAAGCCCTTTCTCCCCATCATTGTTCTTACTACTCTCCTCAAATGCCCTCTTTGCCACTTCTTTGACATCTAGTGTTCTTTCAGCTGCAAATCTTGGGCCCCTGTAGGTGAACCTCAAGTTGAGAGAGCCTTCCATCTGTTCTTCCCAGTAGGACCCCCAAACTCACCTCGCCAGGGACCAGAGCTCCTTGGTGCTTTGCTGCTGGTACAGCTCGGGGAGTAGCTGCTAGGCTGGCTCAGGGCCCTACTGAAATGTTCATCCACCACGGAGCTGATGTCCCCCTGGAAATAGGTGAAGAGGACGCAGCGGGAGTTGATGTACTCTGCCTCTGGTGGGCGCTCTTTCTCTGGGCTGCCTTCCTCCTCTTTTATGCTGGCTGGGGTTTGGCTAGAAAATGAGGAGCTGCCACTGCCACTGCCACTGCTGCTGGGGCTAGCATTGCACTCTTGGGCTTCCTGCATTTTGGAGTAATAGGCTAGCTTCTGCTGAGAGAGAGAGAGAGAGAGAGAGAGAGAGAGAGAGAGAGAGAGAGAATATGAATGAATGTCAGTTTCAAAACAGATGGTAAATTGGGTTCAGACTGAACTCCCTCATCCAAACCCCTAAGGTATCCATGGGGAAAATGTGTGTGTTTGCCTTGTGCCCTTCACATAAAACCTGTAATAGGACAAGGTCAGCAGGACTTGCAACCTGCACCCTAGCAAGGGTGGGCTTCTTTAGAGGAAGGCTGTCATCCTTCCTACCTCTGCCTCCCTTGAGTTGCTACTGGGTTGCAGGGAAATCTCTAATATGTGAGGGTGATAGTTCCAGAAAGTGCTCAGAAAGTCAGGTTATGAGATGAGTTTGACCTCAGAGCCCCAAACACACATTTTAAAAATCAGCCTCCAATGATAAAGAGTACTTAAGTCCAGGTAGGGCCTGACTGTTGCCTGCTTGAGAATCCGAAATAGAAGCACAAGGTACAAGATTAAACATCCTCATACTTTTTAAATTTTTTTTTGAAAAAAAAAAAAAAACCCAATACAAAATACACTACCCACAACCGGGAATGTGAAAGAAGAACTGCCACAGGAAGTGAGAAAGAGATTAAGTTAGTAACGAATGGGGTAAATGTGAGATGAAATTGTGATTGGGGAAATATATGGATCATTTTAATAAATGCAAGTTGATATGTGTTTAGTTACCCATAAATTATCAATTTAAAAGTCTGTTTCCATTTTTAAACAGATCTTTTAAGTGAAGAAAAAGCAGTGCTCTATGAATATTTCCACCCTTAGTATCTCGTGAAAAGGAGCAAGAATAAGAAGGTTAACATCATGATTGTGAGGTTGGGTAAATCATGAGGTCTGACAGTGAGTTTATAAAACCAAGTGCAGCTGCTGAGAACATTTTCTTAGAAATGAGCAATGGCCTGAATATATTGTTAAAGCATTCTGCAGGCAGAGATGGCCTTGGGGCGCGGGTGTTGAGCCATAGAAAAATGAATAGAGATCTTAGCGCAATAAATTGGTTCAGGGTCCAGGAGGAGAAAGGGCCAGACAGAAAACCAACCTACCTCTCTCCACCTTGCAATAGTTCTGTCCTGAGAAGGAGTGCATCTCAGAGGTTGAAGCAAAAAAAAATTTTCAGTTATTTAGCAATGTTGCCACTTCCTAAAGGCCATTTTTCCACCTGGCTTTCAGTGACTTTGGATGATTCTTAAAGTTAGCATTGAAACTACAAACTCCAGATTGGAAATTTTAAAGAGGGAAGGATGCGGAAGAAAACTAGGAGCAAAACTACCCAATCCATCATTCATTAGGCCATTTCAAAGTAGACATTCTGAACTCAAAACTGATGAAAACGGTGACTGGATCATTATAGTGTATTTCTGTTTCCCCAAAGTGGAAGCCCAGGAACACATTTTCCAAGCTGGTCTGGGCCCCAGGTGTGTGCTTTTGTTCTTTTCCCACAGTATCCTAGGTTTCTACTAGATCAGTTGAGGAGATGGAGTCATTGACTAGATACAGCCCAAGGAAAAGAAAAATTGGTGGAATTAAATGAAACTTGAAGAGTTTGCAGGACCGGGGTCAAGTGGTCTTTTAAGTGAGTTTGTTGAAGCCTAGACTGCCTGATTCAGCTCCCCAGACTTAAGAAATGGGAAGTATTATCTATGAAGCTCGATCAGTCAAGCGCACCCTAATGATATTCTCTAGAACCTAGCAAAGCAGAGATTCTTCGCGGTTCTGGAATTAATTGGCTCAATTGCCTGAGAATTAAACTGGAAGAAATTATTCCTGAGATAAGTAAGCTTACATAAAAAATAATGCAAGGGGCCTTTGCATCTCAGACCTAAAGACAGAGACTGGCCTTTGCTTTTGATTTTGTTGCCATTTTACCTTCAAGACCAAAGTTTGGTGTTCCCCGCTTAAGCTCTGCCTGAAGCCCCCGCACTGCACTAGGAGTCCTAAGTCCGACAGACTAAGAAAATCTAGGCCGGGATCCTCATCTCATTATTCACAGGAAGACTCGGGTGCACATAAGCAAGGCTTAGCTGTCTTCCCAAGAGAGCGAACGGGCGAGCGAACGGGGTTAGCTAAGTGAACAGCCAACTGGGTGGCAGCGCGGGCAATCCCCACATCCCGGCGGTGCCGGGGGCTAGCCTGAAGCCCTGGACACCCGGAACACCTCGGACCTTGGGGAACCAGCGGTACTCGGAAGATCCGAGGAGGGGAGTCATCAATTTTCCAAGTTTGAGTCCAGACCCTAAGGAGAAACGTACCTGGTGATAGGGGGTGTAGGCGGCTGCGAAGTAAGGCTGCGGAGGACCATAGACTTGGTACATAACATCCAGACAGCTCATGGCTCCCCGCCGCGGAGACGGTTAAATGTTTTTTCATTAACTCTGGTTCGGCGGAGCTCAGGGATGCTGCATGGGCGGCGCTTGGGCCTGAGCTCCGGAGTCATCTGCGGCGGAGCGAGGGCCGGCTAGCTCAGCGACTCGGGATCCAGCTGGCTCGCTCCCCTCCCACTCCTGCAATTTTAGCCCGGGCTGCGCTCCCGGACAGAGCGCCTGGGCTCCCGCTAGTGGGCATTTAAACCCCACGTCCCGCGGACGTGCTGACGCCACACCCGGGTCTCGGAGGGGGAGGGGTGGTGGGGGGCGGGGACCTGGGGCCCAATGGATAACAAGGGCAATCAGCAAGGGGCCACCGGCGTGTTTCTCAGAACTCCTTTCCGCAAGCGTGAGGCCAAGGGTGCCAGAGACTGTGAGATCCCGAACTTGGGGCCAGAAGCTTTGCACCGCTAGTAGGGCTTTCCTAGCCTAAAAGGAGTTGGGTGGGTGGGGGAAAGGGGAGGAGACGAGTGGGGTAAGAGGGAGAGAGGAGCAACCGGGAGAGAGAAAGAAAGAGAAAGAATATGAATTGCGCTCCTACAGAGAAAGAGTAATTGAGACTCTTACATTTAAAGAGAACGAGAGTCGGGGAAAATTCTGGTGGGAGAGGCTGATCCTCACATCGGAAGACTGAGTGTGTGGGTCGGGGAGTGGCAAGGTGCAGCAGATTCTCTGCTCTAGGCTCCGGGGGATGTGTGTTTCCCTGGAATTCCTAAGGGATCTGGGTCTTCGCAAACGGAATATTGAACAAGTCCAGGGACTCCTCCCGGACACAGAGGAGCTCCCACTTCGGGGAGCTCACCTCCTTTGCGCCTTTGCGCCTCCTCCAACCCGCTCCTCAGAACTCCCCAGTTGCACTTTCTAGGGTTGCTCCCTTCTGTCTCTCTAAAGTTGAATCCCCCACTTTCCCTTTGGTGCCCATCACCCAAACCGGCTTGTTCTGCATAGATCACGCTTGATCTCTGGCTGCACCTGCTTCGGAAAACTTTCGAGGAGTCTCTTAGGGGGCCTTATTCAGCCTCCGAACACCTGGCTTTGCAGGCGGTGACCTCGTCAACCCGCGTCTTTTAACATATACATAATGTTTTGGGACATGGACCCTTTGAATTTAAGGGGTATCCTAGAAACTGCAGACAGTCTAGAAAGGACTTCTTCTGCTTCTTCGACTGGTAATGACAAAAGCTGCGATGCTGTTTCATTTTAGAGAGGTGAAAGTGTGCACTACCAATTGTTAAGCCTTCCCTGGGCGGTTGTGTCTTTGGCCAGGAAAACTCAGCAGACTCGGACCTCCTACCTGCAAATATCTCCACCTCCCCAACTATCCTCTTTGCAGCCCCCTGGGGAAGAGAATGTAAAAGTGGAATTTCCGTCTGAAGAGTTTAGGAATGTATTGAGACTTGGCTGTCTCCGTGGTAAGGTGGCGGAAAAGGGTTACTGGAATGTGGCGGGCCAGACTTAGGGACTGGCACAGAAGTTGGGAATATTGAGAGCCCAACCCCAAGAAAGAGGCAGTAAGGATAGACCAAAGCGAACCGTATTATTTACTCCTCTGTTTAAATTCAACTGAAAGTATCCCAGATTCTCAGCTGTAAACATGCAAACAAATGCATTCTTGAAGAAACTTGTGTTTAAAAAGTGAATATTTTATTTCCAGTTTTAAAAATCAAATCATTTTATTGCGTGGCTTGGAGGAAAGGACTGAAAAAGCTCTGAGGAAGACAAAGAGATCTGACGTCCTCAGCAGAGCCACATCTCGCCGTCGCTGAAAGTAGAAAGTGAATATTTTAAGTCAAATCTTTCCAGATTGAATATTTGGTTTGCCTTATTTATAAGTGAACAATGACTCCTTGTCTATAACTGGTTTCATAGATGGTGAGCTTCCTGAGCGATTGAAGTTTAATTACAATGTAATTTATTTTTAATGAAAATTAAAACTTGAAGACAATGCTCTAGTGCAGTTTTACCCAAACCTCTTTTTAGTTGCTGGGCTGACGGGTGGTTGAGCTTCCCCACCCCTACGGTTTCAGTCAGTCCAGGTGCTCAGGTGGCACAGAACTTCCCTTCCACCCCAACCCTTCACGCCAGTGCCTGGAGAAGCAAAACGGTCTATCTGTGTCAAAAGCTAACCATTGACAGAAAGGCCACTGTACACCCCTCTGGATGAGAGAGGTAAAGAGTGCCGGCCCTAGTCTCGCTCTACACAGCTTTGCACTCTTGCTGCCCAGGCAGGGACCGCTCTGTCCAGTCCCGGCCCTGGTTTGGCCTCGGGTTGGGTGCCTTAGGATGGATCTAAGGACACCTCAGAAGCCCAGGTGCCATGCAGTCACTGAGCCCACTAGCAATGACCAGTCTGGGAGACTCCCGCGAGTGTCGCACTGCATTCGCTCAGTTCGGGCGGTCCATCCTTAAACACAGAAGTTCCAATTGCGAAGCGCGCTCTTTTCCGCTCAGCCTGGCCTCACCAGCGTGGACCGCGGACGCAACATTGCCCTGGAAAAGTGGAGTGAGAAGCAATGGACCGCACATCTAAGCAATTGCTTGGAAACTGCTCCTGTCTACACTAACCTTCCCTGTGTGGCTCATCGTTATTCCCCCCTCCCTGCCCCTTTGTCCATCCAGTCAAAGAAAACCACCACAACCTCTTAGATTTCCTCAAAGCCCTGTTAAATATCAATTATTTTCGAAAAAAGGGATTGAGCAAATTTTGTACGAAGAAAATGAAGAGAATGCGATTCTCTTTGCCCAAGCCTCCTTTCTGTTCACATTTCCCAATCTTCTCTTATTTGCAACTGTTTTTCAACATCTAGTTGAAGTGAAGGGATGTTATGATGTCATGCAAGTTGAAAGGGACACAGGGAATTGGGTCAGTGTGTGTGAATTTAGGCAGGAAAATATTCCTTACCTCCCAAATCCAAAGTGAAGGAAGAATAAACATCTCGGAGTTTTAAAAACAGGTCCCAAAGATTGGAGCATATTCATTCTTTTCTTCCTATCTGCAAAGCTGTCATTTACATGAGGGTTGTATTTCCCAACCTAAGAGCTCCTCTTGTTTCTATGATGACACAGAAAGGTAACAACTAAATTTAAACACATTCGCAGACATTCAACCACCAAGTCAGTAACACCCTCCAAGAAATCATATTTTGATTCAGAACCTAAGATTACAAGTGGAGCATTGAGAAAAATTCTCTCTTCCCTCAATCTCTTCACTGCTTTTCTTCATTTCCTTAAAAAAGCCTGCCAAGCAGTTAAAATGTCCCAGGATTTGGGTCCTAGGAACAAATGGATCAACCCGGGAAGAGAAAGAAACTATTACCAATTGCATCAAATGGCCTTTTAATCTTCCTAATTGGGTAGAGGGAGCATCAAAACTTATTTTAGAAACAAACTCCACTCTAAGATTCATGACAATTTGTTGAATTGTCAGGAGGGAGCCACATGAAAATAAAATTAATTCCACTAAAAGACCCTTCTAATACTCTAGCTGTGGTCTGCAATTTTAGCAATATCTAAAATTGTGAAAATCAATAACGTTTATTAAAGTTAAGAAATAAAATAAAATTAATCTTGAGTGAATATATGTTTGAAGGTAGCATTATAATGAAATGTCTTGTTTCCTCTTCAGAAAGATTTGCCTCTTGTTTTTTATAAACTAGCTGATTTCTTTACCTCTGAATTTTTTTTCTGTTACCTGTGTCATCATATCCTGAAAACTGCAAAGGAAGGACCCATGAATAGAATTAATTTGGAGGACTGACTTCCAACCAGCCCAGGCCCTCAATTGTCCATGGTTTATTTGGATCATGAAAGTTGGCATTTTGTGCTGCCTTATTCTGCCAACTAAAGGGGATGAACACAATGGTAATCTCATAGATTTTCCTCCCTAAACCCATCCTTGCCTGTTTAACTGTGGAGAAATGTGTTTGGATTTAGGAGAGCAGCTGAAAAGATTTTTTGTGGATTCAAGCTGTTAATAATATTAGTTGAAAACATTTGTGCAAAAGCTAGTGTTTTCAGGCATGGTATGTTATGTAGGAATAGTACTCTTGGCAATGGAGAATCTGAATAGGGGTTTTATTTTAAAGAAAAGAGTGGGGGTGGGGAGAAACCCATGTACTCTCTGTAACCTCATTAAACAGTTTAGTTAAAAAAAAAAAGGAAAAAGAGGGTTTGGTTGTTTTCATACAAAATTATCATCCAAGGTTAGTTCAAATGAATAGGTGAGACTACTTTATAATTTATTGACATTTGATTATTATTAAAAAAGTTAAATTTTGCCTTCTCCACAATTTTAACAGTTTTTATGTTATATGCAAGTCAACTTAAGCTTTGGTAAGACAGTCACAACTTTCTGAATTGATTTTTCTTTTGAATTCATGTTGATGTCAAAGCCCATTTCTAAGACTGAGAAAAATGCTATATTTATCTTTCAGAAATGAGTCATTTTTCAATGAGTTTCTAGGGATTAGTTTATGCAAAGATATGATTACACAAATTTAACTCCTATAACTCAAAACTTTAAAAATGATAGCTTATAAATAACATAAGGGGCAATTGAAACAGATATGTATCAAACATTTTGTCTTTTTTAAAAAAGGAAAAATTAGAAAGAAATTTACAATCTATAAAACTTAAGTCAGAGAGCATGTGCAAGTATTTATTAATAGAAGGTTCTTCATATCTGTTATGCATTGAAAAGTCACTCTAATTGCTTTTAATTTCTGACCCTATTACATTTTTTTTCTTTAAAGGCACATGGTCTAGAAATAGCCTAGAAAATAACACATCTGTGAAACTCCTTTTATAAAATACAGGAATATAGAGCAATTTGTAGATTCAGAAGGTGGAAGCAGACTGAAGGATTTAAACTGTTGTCTTAGATATTTGACAGTATTGGTGTTGATCCAGGCCCAAACTTCTGTTTATAAACTTCATTTCAGCAGAATGCTAAAGGGATTAAAAGGAGACCACAGCAATAACAGACAGAAGGTGAAGATATCCCTCTGAGTGTGATGACCTGTCACATGCTTCAAGAGGTCTTGAAACAGCTTCTTAGAAACTCTGGTAGGAAGCTTCTCTTGGCATGCATGAAAGAATTTTTA